GTGTGTGTGTGTGTGTGTGTGTGTGTGTGTGTGTGTGTGTGTGTGTGTGTCTATGTATCTGTATGTGTGAGTATACTTTCCTTTTGGTGCATTGTCCTGGTTTGTGTATATTTTTCTGTCGATTTGTCCACCTCTCTTTATTCTCACTAACACTCTTTTGTTCAGTATTTCACAGTCTTTTGTTCAGTATTTCCTGTGTGTGGTCTGTGGATATTTTCCTGTTGTCTTCATGCAGCTCTTTTCACGTTCCCCACCTCTCCTATGAGCTGCTATGCCGGCCGAATGTGTCCATTGTCAGCCTTCCTACTGTAGTTAACCACAAGTCAGCAACATTGTGATTTTTGTCTTACCCTGCTTGCAGTGGGTGGTTGGAGGGTGCTCTGGTGTGGTTTGCTCCTTCTTTCCTATCAAACAGCTGTTAGCCTTATCTCTCCTTCGTTTTTATGTTTGTTACTCTCTTCTATCCCTTCTAATCCTCGGCACTCATATTACCTAATTGTGCTGCAAGTGCCTTAAACAAACAAACAAACGAACGAACAAACAAACAAACAAAAGAAAACCTCTGTGTTTGACATGGTGTGGTCAGTTTGTGCTTATTTTTGATGTTTCACATCTGATGGTTTGTGATATACCATCCAGTGGACCCCGAAATTGCATAATTACATGAATGGTCTCTCTTTTTCTTGTGTCTTTTGTTATTTATTATATATCGAGATTTGTGTTTTGCCTGTGATCTAGGCGCCATATTAGGGGCACGCTTTGCTGCGACATTTTTATAGAGTGGTAAGAGTAATTTCCATGTTAATACTTTTTTCTTTCATGTTTTTTTTTTTCTTCCATTTTTACCCTTTTTTTCCTTTATAAATGTACTTATTTTTGGACGGAGTGTCACCCTAAAGCTTCAGCAGTATACCCCCAGTTCCAAACTATAGTGCAGATTATTCGCTAACTTGAATTACAAAATTCTATCCCATATTTTTTGCCATTTTGAGTTAGATTACTCAGAATATGGTGTCAGAAACCAAATGTTCTCTCTGCTCTTTCAATATCGTAATATTATTCGGAGTCGTTTTCAAGATATTCAAAGATTTGCATTCGAAAAAAACTTGACATGTTGCACAAATCAAAATTTAAAACGTAAATTTCTCAAAACTAAGTACTGAACAGATAGAACTTTGTAATTCTAGGGTAGCGCTGTGTTTCAATATATCAATGTGTGTTATGGTCATAGACTTCCATTATTTCTGCAGCCTTTCTACTGCTACTCCTTGGCTCCTCCTTACTGCTGTCTTTCTGCCACACCCCTGATCTTCTGGTAGGAAAGATCTACACCTAGCCTTCTCGGACAATGGCGAAAAATCTCGGAGGGCCCGTGTGCAAGTTGCGCACGTTAAAGATCCCTTGGTGGTCTAAAATCGAAAAGAGTAGGCTTCGGCCGCCACCGGGGCAAAATTCAAAATGCCCTACCAACTGAAAATATTAGGTGTGTCCCGCGCGCTCATATGACCGCATGCAGTTGCGAGCGCCGTAAAACACTTTACAAAAACAAACAGGACTTCCGTTATAATATCCTAGCCCGCGCACTGTCATGGCCGCCGCTCTCGGCGTTCTATAAACAAATTTGCTTTGAAGAGTGAAGAGTTCCCACCATGGGCGCAAAAAGACCCAGAAAGGGCAAAAAGACCACTGTCGCCACAGCTGAGTAGTGGGTGGTTGGCGGGTGCTCTGCTGTGGTTTTCTCCTTGTTTCCTATCATATATCTATATATTCGTATCTATCCTCTCTTTTTGTGCTTGTTATTCTTTTGTAAAACCTCTTTAAAAAACCCTCTAATCTTCGGCACTCTTAAGCTTATTATATGACCTCTTAATTGTGTTTGCAAGTGCCACGATAAAATTTTTACCGAAACAATGTTCGAGTGCATGTGGTGACACCTTTTGCCCCTTACCATTTATTTAGCTTCAAATGGAGTGAAATGGTGTGCTTCACAGTTGACTGGAATCAGAAAGGGTTTACAGTATTACTATAAACTCTCTGCTGGAATTACGCAAGAGTGCATGGTCTAGGGTATTAAAATAGGCCTACAAGTCTATGGGTATGACAGAGACAGTTTTCGAGAGCTGTGACAAATCGTTTTCTCAAAAATTACAGTTCTATCTGACATTTTTCGGCCGTTTTGAGCTGCTAAGACCATGAGATAAAAAATCAAATGCTCTACTTGCTCTATCAAAATCGTTAGATTGTTCTGAGCCGTAATTATCAAGCTATTTAAAGAACTGCATTCGAAAAAGCTTGACGTATTTTGAAACTCAACATTTTTTATGTCAAATTTCTCAAAACTAGGTACTGAGCAGATAGAACTTGGTATTTCTAAGGTAACGAAATACCATGGAAATATTACAGTCCTGTTGAATTTGCTCCCTCAGAATTACCAAGTTATATCAGCTCAGTACCCAGTTTTTAGAAATTTGCCTTTAAAAAAATTAAGAGTTTCTCAAAATGTCAAGCTTTTTTCGAATATATGCAATTCTTTGAATATCTTGATAACGAGTCCGGCTTATCTTATGATTTGGATAGAACAGAATTAACGTTTGTGTTCTGACCTCATAGTTTGAAACTTAAAACGGGCAAAAATGTCAGATGGAAATTTGTAGCTCAAAGGTAGTGAAGTGTGTTGAATAGGACACATAATGCCCTTGTTAGATCGTACCGTCGTGTACTGACCTAGGATATCTTGGTCTTGTATGAGGCGAGCACGCCATACCAACACTTTTCATCATGGGTGGTTGGTGGGTGCTCTGGTGTGGTTTGTTCTTTCTTTCTTATCAAACATCTGTCGTCCTTATCTCTCCTCCTTTTTGTGTATGTAACTCTCTTGTAACATATATTCTTACGCACTTATATGACCTTGTTGTGTTGCAAGTGCGGTAAAACTATTACGAAAAAAACAACAACAATAAACCAACACATACCCTACTAGACTCCGAATTGGTTATTTCAAAGATGGAGCACTTGACGCCACCAACAAGGAACATGGCTCGGAGGAAATCTTATCCTGTAAAGGTTTGAACCTCAACTTTCTGCATGACACTCGTTTTCGTTGACACACACCTTGCCACAGAGGTTCCTCCTCTGAGTTGCTGGTGCACTCAAACGGCCAGGGAACTGGTCTCATGTTTTTGCTTTTTGTTCTACAGGCAATATTGGGGCTACTCGCCGATAAATAAAAAATAAATAAAT